CCTAGTGCTTTATTCCTATTATACAAGAAAAAGCGGTTGCTGTTGCTAGTTCAATTTTGTTCACATCACCTTTTTAAAGGTGGTGGTCCCTGTTGTCCCTGTTATATTGCATCCTATTTTTGTGGTACCTGCAGATTTTCTTCTGCCTCCACAGGACTGATGACAGAAAAAGTTGCGGTGGCCATTTTGTCCGAGAGAGGCTGCTTACCTTACCCTCCTTTCCCCAGGCTGAGGCTCTGTGATTACGAGTCTGGTAATAAGACAGTTTGGTTTCAATTTACTTCATAGACCTCATAAGAAGAAAGAACTGAAGTAAGAAAGAAAGGGAGAGGTGTGAAGAGAAGGAAAAAGAGGAGACTCAGCAGTCAAAGGCACTCAGTTTGCCACTCAGGTTAGATTTCTCAGTGAGAACACCCAAGATGGATTAGAAGAAGGAGAGGAACAGAGGTAGCGAAGAAGAAAGGAGGGGGGGAAAGGACACTTAGATGGTAAGTGGAGAGGACAGGAGGAAGAAGCAAGAATAGCAGTGAACGTGAGAACATGCTTTCCTTCTGTATGTGACCACAATGACCAGAGCTTCAAAAGTTCATCTGGAGACAGGAAATTCAGAAGATACATGGACCTGAGTGAAGAAAAGCCAGTCAGAAAGGAGAATGGTTAATGACCCCGACCCAAGTGCATCTGCAGCGTCTGTGTGAGCTAAGCAGGACGGAGCAGTTTAGATGTGTGCACAGTGTAAGTGCAGTCCTGTGTGTGCATTGAGGGAGGAAGGTGGAGAGCACTGTACCTTTCCATGAACAGCCCAGACTGGATGAGGTAAGGCTGAGATGGAAATCGAGATACAAGGTGCTGAAATACATCTTATGACTACTGCTAGGAAATAGTAAATTCTAAAAAGCAGCACCACATGGCCAATTTCAAAGATCCTTAAAGGTCCGTTTTCTTGCTGACATATTTATGATCATTCTCAGACAGCTTTATGTTTTAAAAGATGTTGAACGAACGTTCCTGGGGTATGATGCACTTCCAAACAGGCTTCTGTAGGAATGCAGAGAGTTGATTTGTAAGCAATTGAATTACTGTCTTGTGTATGAGGGATTGATATGGACTTTATTAGTACTCTGAAATTCTCTGTGGAACAGTATCAGCAAAAATTTCACCCACCCATGAGAAAACAGAAATTTCTTTGCCAAACCAATCAATGGGTACTCTTGTTTCTCAAAGGCAAATGTAATTAGTATTCTGGGTCTGAAAGAGTAGGCCTAAATCCGCTAGGAATATCAGTGCTAAGTTAGGAGAGAAAGTTGTAAGGGACAGACGGGTTATTGTAATGGTGAACAAACATGCTGACTTAACTTCTCTTTGAATTATGCCAATTTATTACAAAATAGTAGGAAAAATCTAACCTCCTGTTAACAAGAGGCCATATGGCAGAATTATTTGAGGATGTGTCACTGCAGAGTACACTTGCTGCATCTGAGTGCAAGATCTTTACGATGTAAGCTTTGTGCTAAGCAACAGCGATGAAGTAGCCGATCTGAGCCTGAAAACGTGACAGTACTGCCCAAGCCCTCCCCGTTGGACTTAGGCGAGCCCGAAACTGCAGCTTCAGCTGACACTTGCAGAATGTCACTGTGAAGAGTGGCTCCCATGATCAGCTGTTATGTTGTGCTGTGCAGATTTTTTTTGTTTGAATTCTTGCAAACTTCATGTGAACCGTGCAAACGAAACCCAGTGCTGTCTCTGAAAATAACAATGCATAGCAATTAAGTGCAAGAGTCATGGTACATTCATGCTGCATCTTAAAGTTAAGCCTTCAATAAGTTTCAGAGCCGAAAACCACAGAAACACAAAATAAATGACATTGCCTCCTGAGAGCTATAGAGGAATACTTCTGAATTAATGACGATATTCATGTGCTGCTTTCCCATCAGCATTTCAACCACAAGTATCCAGAGGCAGTCAGTAAAGGGTATGACACAAGACCTTCCTCGTGGGGGGTGACTGGTGATGGTGCCATTGTGCTGATGGGTCCTTCTGCTGCCACTTTACTGCAGGGTACAGCAAAACCTGTCGCTTATTAAGTGCATCGATCAGCCTGACAACTCTGGTGGCTCCGAATAAAGCTGCTGGGACAATTCCAATGAAGCATTCAGCAGTTCAGAGCTTAAACTGTTTATGATACCTTAACGCTGGATTCGCTTATTCAGGTCTTCACTAAGAAGGAGCCAGGTGAGAGAACAAGCTGCAGCTTGGTCAGACAGGTCTGAAGCCTGGGCCAGAACAGTTGCTTTTTCGAATTTTTCTGCGTCTTTGTTACTAATTCCCTGAGCAGCTCAGTTTAACTGTCAGAAGTAGCACCTCGTTTGTGTGTATCTACTGACCATAACTGATATTTAGTACATTATTCCAGAGCTGTTCTTTAATAATTAACACACTATGAATTTGGCTGACAATTAACACCCATTCCGTTTAGCTCCTATTTTAAGAAAAGTTGTTCATAATCCTACTCTGTTCATAATCCTCCTCTGGAAATTACTTAAAATTGACTCTTAAGGCTTTGAGTTTTTTTGTAACTGGGAAGCAATTATCAGGAAAGAAGTGTCACACAAATTTAACCGCAGCTCCTTGCAGTACTTCATCAGATCTTCTCCTGAAGGTTATATGAGTCCCCGTTGGCTCTTACTCGGCAGGTAAGATCATTGACTCCTGATTTTACGTATTTACTGCTGGGTGGGCAAAAAGTGTCTTTGCGATATATATTGGTCCTACAAAGGTCCGTATTCTTCTTCAGTTTCTTGGGAGTCCCAATGGAGTAGTTCAGCTGCCATCAGGGTAGTCAGTGCCAGGACTGGAGAAACTTTTAGTTGCCCAGATGAGCTGGATGTACTTTTTAGTGCTTCACCATGGCTACAGGAAATATTATCAAACGTTATTATCCTGTGTGGGAGGGAACAACGTGATGGCAGATCCCTTGATCATTTCCAGGAAAAGTTGTGCCATGGTTTTTCAGGTACTATTGCTATAAATTATTACTGCCACGAGCCAAATTCCTTTTACATTTTTATCCCTTGCTGAAAGGTGATAGTATTCCAAGTCCTGCTCTTGGTAAGAAAAACTGTCTCACTTGTCGCTGCCACTTGCATAAGCAGGGAGAGGCACGCTGGAGTTTGTAATAAAGGTTGATGTGGCAGTGTATAACAAAGCTCTCATTTGTATCCTAAATTCTTTTCCTTTCACCCTCTTTTTTTTTCCTTCAATCTGTAGCTCTTGAACTACTTGATACTGCTTTTCCATTCTTCTGCCTGACTTTGACAGATAAATGGCATACCTTTCACTCCTCCAAGTGTAGTAGAGAATAACTGAGATCAGGGACATTTTAGGTTTAGCTCCTTGTTTTGCTGTTTCCTTTTTTTTAATTCCTCTCTGAACACTCTTGTTTGTTTTTATGATTTTTACTTGTGCTTTTGTCAAGAGCTGTCTTCCATCTGAAACCCCCTTGCCATGTAACTCCTATACTTAAGATAGGGAAGATACACAATCCTACCAGTTAGTTATAAGAGTTGCAGACAAAGCTCTCCTGGGTTCAGTTACCCATGTTGTCCAGCTGGTGGTCTGATTTGCTGAGTCCAGCTAGAGATACTTCATCTGGCCAACAGCCTGTCCCTGGAGGGGGTAGATAGGGCAGTAAATCCTGCCTGAGCAGCTGAACCTCCCTGTCTGCCCACCAGCACCCCAGACAGATGGGTGTCTGTGGCTGCGGGAGAGGACTTGAAGCGCCGAATGCTGCTCTCGTGGTGATATCAACCCGTTGGCCCAGAACTGCTGCTTGCACCTCATCTTTTGGTGCCAACCTCTCAGTCTGGCAGCAGCAGGATTTCTCCTTTCCACTCTCTGCCTCCCTCCAGCATCACCCAGAGCCTCAGTGCTGAGCGCACGTCCTGCACCTTCCACTCCCCTGGGACCAGCTTCTCCTCAGTTGCTGCTGCCAAGAAGGTGGGAAGATGCTGGTGGAGGAAGATGACTGGTGCCAGCAGGATGGGTGGTGGGAGTCTGAGACCAGCTCACTCTGGAGGAGGGTGCAGACAAGTTGTGCGATGAAGCTGGGAGCCCACAGACAGCCACCCCTCGAGCTTCCCGCAGTTAGGTGCCTCTCACAGCGTTCAGCGCACCCTGCTTTTCTCTCTCACCCATTCAGACTTCATTGCGTGTGGGGAGTGTTACACGTGGGTGATACTCATCTCTAAAATTCATCCTTCAGCATTTAGGTCTTCTCACCAGCAAAAATACAGTATATGGGTATGGCCGGGGACTGGTTACAGAAAGTTTTGACTCATTCTCATGAAAGTTGGAGGCAAGCTGTGGGAGCCTTAAACACCCATGTTGTTAGACTACTGCATCTGTACAGGTATCATTGGGAGGCAAAGCTCTTACAAAGCAAAATGTAGGAAACTGTCTTGCATCACCGTCTGGATGATTAGGATATTCCTCCAAACGTCACTGAAGCCTGTCTCTCAGGCTCCAGTGTTGGCCAGAGTATTTTTTAAGGTCAAACTCACTGTGAGACACAGAAGCAGTGAATAGGGGCGGGACGTGGCTGGGAAGGCTCGCCTGCGGTTCCTCGACTTATTTCTGTCAAGGGTAAATCCGTTTCTGAGCAGAGAGGCGGTGTACAGCATAGCCTGCGCTTCACTCGTGGGTCACCCTAGCCACTAATACGATCAGGATGGTACCAAGGGGTTTGCCTTGTCCCCTGAGCCGCGAAAATTTTCACCTCTGCTGTGTCAGAGAGAAGAAATAGAACAAGAATTGAAGTAAATTTGGAGAAAAGTTTGTAAATTCTGTCCATCAATAGATTTATCGTTGTGGATACTCTTGCACTAGAAGCACATTGTGGATGTAAATTGTGCCCTCTTCTGTCTGTGAAGCTGTGAAAGGATTCCCTCCCCCAGCAGAAGAGGCAACACCATCACTGTGAAAAACACATACTTGCATGATCTATTTTTCTGTTTTTTATTAACTCAACATTGTCTCCTACAAATACGATTTGTCATTCACCAGAAGATTTGAAATGTAGACTTAAGTTACACATAGGTATAAAAAGCATAAAACAGCACACACGGTACCACTGTTTAGACCAGGAAACATTGTGTTGCCCCACAGGTAAGAGCTCTACCCAAGCTCAGCTCTGTCACCTTCTGCCTCAGGGCTTCACTCTTCAAAGCCTCAGATGCTTCTGCTTCTTTCCCCTCAGCTTGCGAAGCCCTGCCAGCCTTCCCCTGGTCTTCCTCGCCCGCGTCTGGAGCGTGGGTCGCGGGACCACAGGGCAATCCCGTCCCGCTCCACCAGAGGTTGTAAAACCTTGGGTTCCTACCGGCTCTTCAGAAACGTTTTCCTCCTTCTCTTAATATTTATGTACAATATATGAAGGGATACGACTTGCGTCTTTGATTTAGACATATCTCTTGCCTCATACTTAAACAATAACTTGAAAAATATTTTACAAAGAAAAAGAACATTGTTCATCTGAATGTCATTCATTATTATATTGCTATATTTTATACCCTATTATTAATATATACAAAATTTCTTAATTGCCTTTTACAGATGCATGGAAGCAGAAAATATAACAGTTTTAAAGTATCCCATTTTTAGATTTTTTTGTTCCTTGGCTCATGTCAATCTCTTTAATAAACTATGGTTGCTTGGAGAATATAGGAAGTATTTGGAATGTTGTTTAAAGTTTAATAATAACTGGTAGCATTGTCCATTTGCGGCCTGAACAGTTGGAGCACCTGTCAGGGCGATCTGGTAGAGATAGCAGCATCATAAGACTTAAACAATCATGGAGGGCTGTTAATGTGCAGTGTCGATGGGTGCCAGGTCCGGTTCTTTGTTTGGGGCTTTTCTTTTCTTCGGCTGCGTTTTGTTGTTGTTTTCCCTCTGTTCTCGGTTTTGTCTTCGGGCTGCTCGCCCTTTGCCTTCCTGTCTTGTCTCCTTGCTTTCGTCTTTGTTGGACTTTTTTCTTTTCTCCTCCCTATTTTTTTTCCCTGAAATAAAAATGATGGCACATTAGAAGATTTGCTCAGGCTGTTGCAGTTTCTGACTCCCTCGCTTCGCCATAGCCTGTGAAACCGGCCCTGGATTAGCACCTCCCGTTAGAAGCTGGACACTGGTTACTAGTGTCCAGCTCTTCATCCAGCTGCTAAATTCAGCCACTGGACTGGCACCTCCCATCAGTCTCACCCTAAGCAAAGAGCCGAGAACTCCCTGGGGAGTCCTGGTGCTTCGGAGCTGGAATAAATGTCTCGCACGCTCCTAGCCTGTCTCCCACAGCCAGCGGCACGGCTCCGTGTACTCCACCAAAACACAGCAGTTTGGCCGAAGCCAGGTAGCACAAACTATTGTCTGTCTGGTCTAAATTTGTCTTGGGCTGGGACCCAGCGCATATGGTGAGAGGAAATTAGCCATCATGTTACTCCCCTTCAGTGCCAATGCTCAGCGTCTACGTCTTTTAAAAATCCCTCTCCCCACCCTTAACCCCTACCACACCCACATCCCGGGGGATTCTTGGTATTGCAACATGAATCCCATGACAAAGTGTCAGCTCCAGCTCAGCTACCTGACCTCTTCAGACTAAAAAGTGGTCTCCCAAGTCTCAAGTCATGCTTTAGACCGTCGTTACAAAATTAGGTATTCAAGTACTTTATTGCTTTAAATGCTTATAAAGGTAAGACATTGAGGTTTTAGTTACTGCTACAGACCTCTCCAGTAAAGCTTCCCATCCCCTCAGGAACATTAAAACGTTGTGTATGGGCCGTGGAGATGATATTTATGCTTGGACATAAGGAAGAAATCCTTCATGCTGAATGTGGTTAGACACCGCAACAGGTTGCCCAGAGAAGCTGTGGCTGCCCCCTCCCTGGAAGTGTTCAAGGCTGGCCTGGATGGGGCTTTGAGCAACCTGGTCTAGTAGAAGGTGTCCCTGCCCCTGGCAGGGAGGAGTTGGGCTAGATGATCTTCAAAGGTGCCTTCCAAACCAAACCATTCTGTGATTCTATGATTCTATTCCTTCTATTTGCTCTACAAACTGATGCAGGTATGACATTGAATCGAACTTGTATGTACACACAAGTCTGAAACAGGTCAGAATTTTTCTGTGTGGAACTGGTGTGTCTGCTGAGCTATGCAGCTGAAATTCACCTGTGGTTAGATGAATCCCAACGATGACTTCAAAAGCAACTTCGCTTGAGCCTTTCATGATACAACGACCTGTACGCCTCCTTACATGGAGACATTTCTGGGCAAGTACTGAAAAGCATCTGGCCAAAATCTGTTTTATGCTATCCTGGTAACAATACTACTGAAAATAATCTATCCCCCTTTGTACAGCAAAAATGCTTTTTGCTTTTAAACATCAGCAGGGATAATCCAGGCTTTCCTACGCCAGTGTTGGGGGAGTTACACAAACCTGGGCACAGCTCTTGCCGTTGAGGGTGCTGAATGCAAGGAGTTGTGCCTGTTCCAGACTCAGCCAGGTCTGGGAGTTCTTGGTGCCTCGAGGGGCTCTGTGGAAGCAGGTCACGGTGGGGGAGTAGGCGCAGGGGCCGTGGCTTTGTTCTCAGAACAGAAGACCATCCAAGGAGGAGCAGGTCAGATAAAGGGAGGCAGATCCAGAGGAGATGGAGAGAAAGCAGGAAGCAAAGAGTAAGACTAAGGTGTGAGGATACGCTGTATCCTCTGCTTGTTGTGTAGCTCTATGGGCTTGTTCCACAGCTTCTTCACTCCTTACCATCACTGCCTGAGATCGGCGAGCGAGGGAAGGTTTAGTTACACATGTTAAGTCAAGTAGGGACAAACATCGTCCTTTCTCATCTTTTTTTTTTTTTTTTTTTTTTTCTGAAACATGCAATAAAGCTTTAGCTGTAAAATGGCACCTCAAATTTTAGGTAACCAGTCAGAGATTACCCCAACATTACCCACATACCTGCAGAGTCCCCCTCTGCATTTGGCAGCACGATCTGAGATGCACAGAGGGGAGCAGGGGGTCCCTGCAGCGTGGGCGTGCGAGGCTCAGCGGGAGCTCCCGCCACTGGGAGAGCTGGGAGGGCTCAGTGCAGGGGCGAGCCTGCATCCCACCCAGCCGTAACGCTGTCTTCTGCTAATGGATAAATGACAGCACGGAATTTCCTTCCAGTGCTTTGTAAATACAGTTGGCCCAAGATGAAATGTTATTTGAATGGAAACTGTCCAGACATTCAGTGTTTGACATTGTTCACTTGGTGATTAGCCAAAATCCCTCAGCTGTGACTTCCTAGCCAAATTCTTTACGTGTGTTGGAATGACGTTTGATGGTCTCCCTTTCAGTCATGGATCAGGACGTGTGCGTCTGTATGTATGTGTGTGAATATACTAAGAACACACCACCTCTGTCTAGCTAGAGACTTCTCTAGGCATGGCTTTACTCCTTCTGTTTTAATCAGGCTGGTGTCGTCGTGAGGGACAAGCAAAACTGATCTCTGGAAGGTACTTAAAGCTCAGTCCTAATTCTCTTCTGCTCTGAGGATAACTAGTCTGGAGTCCTCTGTGCAATTTTATGCATGGTTTAATGCCGTCATCTCTGTGCTGCTGCTGTTTGCGCAAGGACCTGCCCTCTAGACCTGTGCTGTTCTGGTAACGCAATGCAGCGTCAAGAGTCATCTTTGCTGGTTGTTCAGCTCCTTCCGCCGCTATTTTAAGGAGCGGGAGTTTTTATATGACAGCGTGATGTTACTTCCAGTCAGTCCTTGGTTCAGTTTAGACCCAAGGGAAGATTCTGCCCGCAGCGATCTGCCAGCATCGGGGTGTAGCTGGAGCCACATTCTTGTGCGCGTCTCTCTCCCTGTTCATACCCCTGCCCCCTTCTTCCCAGAGACTTGTTCCCAAACACTTTTCCGTCTTACTACGACTTGCTGAAGCCCCCTTCACCACAGCACGTTGAACTGGACGCCAGAAGTTGTGGAAATTCACTGGAAATTTGGGCTTGTGGCTACCTGCGAAATAATGAAAAGCGCAAAAAACGCGGCGGGGTGTTACGTTTGCAGGTTTGCACGCCTTTGCATCCGGAGGAGAAGAAAAGGCAAGGGGAGCCTCAGAGCTGGAGCCCATCGAGGAAGCGAGCGGTGCCACGCAGAGCTGAGCAGAAGACATTCTCCCAGAATTTCGGTTTCCCTCGCGAAGAACGTTGTGGTGCCAAAGTCCTTCTCCGTTCGGAGAACACCCCCCGCACGCACCGGTAGCACCTCCCGGTGCGGGGAGGAGAAAAAAAAAAAAACAAAAAAAAAAAAAAAAAAAAAAAAAAAAAAAAAAAAAAAAAAAAAAAAAAAAAAAAAAAAAAGAAAAAAAAGGGCAAGTCTTTTTAAACAGGAGATGGTGAAAGATTTTGCAAGAGAATGTTTTACCCGTGCAGATGCGGATTCGCGAGATTCTGATAGTCCTGTGAAGTAGTTATTTGGCATTAAAACCGCTTTTATTCCAGAACCGAAAACTTCCCACAGCCAGCTGTGCTGGAAGAATTAGCCTATAGGCACTGTCCAGTGAATCTTCTTGTGGGTCTTTTTAAACAGGAGATGGTGAAAGATTTTGCAAGAGAATGTTTTACCCGTGCAGATGCGGATTCGCGAGATTCTGATAGTCCTGTGAAGTAGTTATTTGGCATTAAAACCGCTTTTATTCCAGAACCGAAAACTTCCCACAGCCAGCTGTGCTGGAAGAATTAGCCTATAGGCACTGTCCAGTGAATCTTCTTGTGGATAGGGGATAATCTACTTCTACTAATAGCAACTTTGTATATTGAAGAAAATCTACAGACATGCTAGAATTTTGGGAAGTGCAATAGTTCAAGTTAAATGCAGGCATGAAATTAATTCAGAGAACAATAATTACATGCCAAATCAGCTTAAAGGTGCTGAGTTCTTCTTGTTCTAATTTATAGCCCCCGGTCAAAGAAATCCCGACATCTGTATTTATGCGATACATGTCTGAATATATCTTTAAGTAGGCAAGCCAGAATATTTCAGAGAAGTCTTTGCATTATCACATCAGATGTGATATTTCCACATAATGTAATTTATGGAGTAGAGGGAGGAAGTGTTGGTGATGACTTGGGAGAACTTGGTATTTAAGAGTACCATGCGAGAGAGACTTACTGAAAAAAATCACGGCTGATGTGGAAGGACTACCACAGGTTCCAGATTTCATCTACTTTAGGCATTGTCACTTGGTCCCACCCTGTTATATTCAGCTGCAATTACTACAGGGAGCTCAGAGCAGCATATTTATTCACTTCTCCCTTCCGTGGGGCACTGAAACCCCAAACCACCACAGGAAGGCAGAAAACCTGGTTGCGCAAACTCCTTTGCTTTGGTGGTGGGAGGTGGCCCAGGGTAGGTCTCGTGGAAACAGCAGAGGGGTGAGAATCTGGCGTCACGTGTTTGGGATGATCGTATTTCTTTCGGGGAGATCACTCCCACGAAGAAATTTACCCTGGGAGAGCAGGAGGGGCAAGAGGAGTCACTGAACTGCGCCTGGCGGGGTTGCAGGCACCACCGCAGCAGGCCCTATCTGGAAGGGTTCTGGCGCTTTTACTGTGCACGTCACCACGGACCACAAAATCCTCCCCGCTACACTGCAATAAGCTGAAGAGCTATAATAAAAGACCACAAGCCACAGCTGTAACATGCCGCAGTGTTCCTTCACACCCCGCACAGCCTCAGCTGACCCCTCAGCCCTTTCCCGGCTGCTGGAGCACCGTCAGCATCGGTGCTCTGGTACCAGCGCTCCAACAACTCTGCACCCCTCCAGGTACAGGGACAAAACTTGAGGGTATGTGCCACTGCTTTGTGTTGCCCTCCTTCCCACCTGTCCACACCCTTCTCAGAGAATTTTTTTAGTCCTCTTAGACTAAAAATCTGTCACCCTTTCCTCATGACGCGACCTGGACAACAACAGCATGACGACGCAGAAGAAGCTGTGCTGAGCAAAGACACAAGTGAAAGGAGCATGCCCCAGG